TGCACACCACCCCCTGCTGCCCCAAATGCTGGCACGGCTGGAGACTGCAGGCAGTGCTGAAAAGGCTGTGCCGGTCATCGCTTTGCAAAACGCTTCACATCAAAAATGTTTCAGTTGGGATTTATTAATGCTCAAGAGAGGGAGATGTCACAAGGCAGTGTGGTATTTTTCTTTTGACAAATTGCTTTCCTAAGATCAAAGTAGGAACTGTTTGCAATTACTACTTCTACCAGTATAGTAAGATGAGCTCAGGGGTTGCTCTCTGCTAGTTCTGATCCCCAGCTGTGAGGTATGGCCATCTAGCATGGAATTAAGAAAGTCCTGAGCTCCTCATTCACTGGCAGTGCTGGCATGCAAGCCCAGAAGTGCCCCAGCACAGCAAGTACCAATCATCTTTCTCATCTGACACAGCGTGTGAGATCTGCTTGTAAAAAGAAACTATTCTGCAATTGCTTAGAAAGAAACAGAACACATGAGGAGGTTTTTACCATGGCCCGTGGTGGCTGATGAATGTTCAGTCTGTGTGCCTATACCAAAGCTAAGATTATCCCTCTGAGAGCAGTGGCTGTGCTCCCTAGCGAGGCACTGCACAGATCTTGTAGGGCCGCGGGGCCAAGGTGATGCCCAGAGTGAATTTGAGGTCGAGGATGGTGTCCGGGGGAGCCTGGAAGGTGAATTTCTGGAGCAGAGCCGTGAAGAAGAGGAAGAGCTCGGCGCGGGCCAGCAGCTCACCCAGGCAGGCGCGCTTCCCTGCGGAGACAGCCGCCCAGCGCCCATTCAGCCCTGCTGGCTGCCCAGCTGTTTTCTCTGCTGAAAAGCCTCGGCACACGCCTCCTGCAGGAACATCACACTGCCCACATCCCCTTGCCCACCTTACATTTCCAGCACCAGGACTCCATCCCAGCTGAGCCCCCCATGGAGCTGTAGCCTGGTCTGCCCCCAGCTGTGTGACTTAATGAGGGCAAAGTGGCGAGGCCAGACTGTTTTCAGCAGTGTGCGGAGACAGGACAAGGGGAAATGGCCAGAAGCTGGAGCATAGGAAGTTCCGCACCAATGTGCGCAAGAACTTCTTTACGGTGAGGGTGACGGAGCACTGGAACAGGCTGCCCAGGGAGGTTGTGGAGTCTCCTTCTCTGGAGATGTTGAAGACCCGCCTGGACGCCTACCTGTGCGACCTGGTGTAGGGATCCTGCTTTGGCAGGGGGGTTGGACTCGATGATCTCTGGAGGTCCCTTCCAACCCCTACGATTCTGTGATTCTGTGATGGGTATGTAAATGTATATGCACACATTTTATCCTACCCTGCTGGGATGAGCAGTGCTTCACCTGCAGTCCCTGTGTGCCCGGCTGTGCACCAAGGAATAGAGCCAAAGCACCAGAGAAAGTGTGTCATGCTTTGGCAGGAAATTGGAGATGCTCAAATCACTCTCCACAAGGAAGCTACTGTCCAGGATGGGGCACCCTGTGGTGGTGGTGGCAAAACCCATTGACCTCAGCCATGTGGGAACGAGTCACAGTATCACAGAATGGCTTGGGTTGGACGGGACCCCAAGGATCAGCATGTTCCAACTGCCCTGCCACAGTTAAGGCCACCAATCTCCAGATCTGGTACTAGCCCAGGCTCCCCAACACCACATACAACATTCTCTTGAACACCTCCAGGGATGGAGCATCCACAACCTCTCTGGGCAGACAGTTCCAGCACCTCACCACTCTCTGTGAAGAACTTTTCCCTGACATCCAATCTAACCCTTCCCTCCTTTAGCTTATAACCATTTCCCCTTGCCCTGTCACAATCTACCCGAGTAATAAGTTGATAAAGGGAAATGGTTTTAAGTTGAGGGAGAGAAGATTTAGGTTGGATGTCAAGGGGAAGTTCTTATAGAGGAAAGTTCTACCGAGAGAGTGGTGAGGTGGTGGAACAGGCTGCCCAGAGAGGTTATAGATTCCCTGTCCCTAGAGGTGTTCAGAGCCAGATTGGATGGGTCAGCCTGGTCTAGTATTAAATGTGGAGGTTGGTGGCCCTGCATGTGACAGGGGCGTTGGAGATTCATGATCCTTGAGGTCCCTTCTAACCCATTCTGTGATTCTGTGATTCTCCTCCTTTTTATATCCCCTTTTAAATACTGGAAGGCTGCAATGAGGACTCCTTGCAGCCTTTTCTTCTCCAAGCTGAACAAGCCCAGCTCCTTTAGCCTGTCTTCACAGAGGAGACGTTCCAGCCCTCTGAACGTCTTTGTGGCCCTCCTCTGGAGCCTCTCCAACAGCTCCATACTTTTTCTGTGTTGGGGTCTCCAGACCTTGATGCACTATTCCAGATGGGGCCTCACAAGGGCAGAGCAGGGAGGGACTATCCCCTGCCTGTCCCTGCTGGCCAACCCTCTTCTCAGTGGGAGCACAAAGCATTGCTCTCACCTTGCTGAATGCATTTCTGGGGCTTCTGAAATTTCTGTAGTCTCGTGCACTTGATAAAAGGCCTAAGAGATGGTGCTGTGCTGTTGGTGCTTTGGAGGGGGCCCATGGTGACTGGTAAGGAAGGAGCTGCTTTTCACCAATATGGGCAATGGACAAGCAGCAACTCCCATGGTGCAGCCAATGTCTGTTGTTTCCATCACAAATTTGCTCAGAGTCTCCCTTGTGCAGCTGGAAGCCCCATTCAGTGCTTCAGCACAGAAGCATCAAACTGCAGCTGGTCTTACCTATAGAAAATGGCATAAAAGCCTCCCTTTTCCAGAACTGACCGTCCTTCAGGAAGTGCTGGGGGTTAAAACTGTGAGGGGTTTCCCACTCCTTCTTGTCAAACATCACAGAGGATATATTTGCAATCATAAGAGTGCCCTGAGACAAGAGAAAGAAAATCACTTTGCACTTTCTCTGCCACTGCCAACAGGAGGGGGGTTATTACCCTACCTCTTAGTCACTATAAGGAGCATCCATAGTCAAATCACAGGTATGTGCTCTACTCCAATCGCACGGCCGTGTTTTTTGCCTGTTTCTCTAAGAATAGACTGCAAGGAAAGTTATCTACCCCTTGATAATAAGTATGGATGCCTCAGCCCAAAGCATATATACTGGTTCCTGCATAGATGGAGAAATGGGAAACTCCTGCTCATACCTCAGTGCTTAGGAGTGGGGTTACCTTGGGCACCCGGAAGCCAGCCAAGACTGTGTCCTTCATGGTCTGTCTTGGGACATTCAAAGGGATGATGTTGCTTTTCCTCTGCACTTCATGGATGACAGCGTTGGTGTAGGGCATCTTGTTCCTGTCCTCCAGGGCTGGCTGCCGTGTCTGCCCAATGACAGCATCAATCTCAGCTTGCACACGGGCTGTTTGGAAAGAGCAGGGATCAGCTGTGGTGCAGCAAAGCCATGGATCCCCTGGGGATAACACATAATGTTTGTTGTGAGGATCCCCCAAGGACCATCCCTGGACAATCATGTGCCACCAGGGGACCTGTGACACCTCTCTGTGAGTTCATCAGTCCAACTACTAAATGGGCCTGTGCCTTGTGTAAAGCACCTGCTGCCTCTGCTGGAAAGCCCTCAGGGGTCTCCAGTGCTTCTATGGCTGGTGGCCACATCTATCTCGTTTCCAAACTAAAGCATTACAAAAATACCAGGGCAAGTATTAAAACAGAAAAAGCACGCAAATGAAAAAATAAACAAAACATTTTGCATCTCTCCTGTTTGAGCACAGAAGGATTCCTGATGGTCTTTTAAAGGAGTGACTCTCTTACCAAACCACACAGGCAAAACCCAGGAAGCACACAGCCCTGCTGCTATGTGTACCTTGAATTTCCGGATACATGGCCATATACAGCA